TAAAGACTGGTGCTTTCGAGGTTTTCAGATTGTTTAGTTATCAGGATTTTTTAGATAGTGTTCCATGCAGAGTGATAGTTATTTCTGGTATTAGAGAGTAAAGAAACATTACCAATCTCATTACTGTCACTCGAAATTCTACTCTTGTAATTATATTTTACATTTTAGGTTTCTTCACACATCACCAACAGCTAATGGGCTCAAATGTCTAGGTAATATATAACTTTTACAGCCATCAAATGTTCATTTCTGATGACTTTCCCCTTGCTGATCAAGTACCTGGCATGATGTGTACTGGATCCGGTCAGCAAGCTGCTGGTAGTGTACCACATCCGCCATGATTTCCTGGAAGGAGTGCTGCTCACTGAGGAACTGCTCCACGTGCTCCTCCGCCAGCCTGGATACCAGTGTGGCGTATTCATCATACTCGTGGATGTACTCCTTGGGCTTGACACTTTCAGCCCAGAACACACTGCGCACCTCCTCCTGCTGGGCCTGGAGAATCTCTGGCAGGATGATGGGCTTTAAGGTGCTTCCAGTTTGGAAGCTTGACTAGGAAGACACGGAGTAGGGTGCAAACACAAACGGAAAAACTAAATATCGAATGCCATGATGAGCTACTGCGATTTTGAAATACAGAACAGGGCATCCGGACAACAAGACTGCAGGAAAAAAAACAGTGTTTAGAGTTTTTGTTGTCTGAGAGAAGTGTTGATTCAACTTCATGATCATTTTGGAGGCTGCAGTTTGGGGTGCTGTTGAACTGAATTGTGTTATCCTGACAGGTGTCTCCATTATTCTGTATACGCCGTTTACATCAGTGAGGGAAGGCTAAATAAGAAAAACGCCTTGTTATAATGATTCTTGAAAATGATCATAAAGTTGATGCAACAAGTGAATTGTAACCTTCATGAAGGTAGGATTTATTGCAGGGTTGTTGTGTTAGACTGCGTTAGTTTCAGCTCGGGGTACCTAATAAACTGGCAACTAATTGTGCATACTAAACACACACTGTCCCTCTTACCCATTCTAGGAACAGCTTGGTTTCCACGCGAGGCACCGTGCTGATAGACCTGAGCATGAGCTCATAGATGTGAAGGAGGGCCTCCTCGTACAATTTGAGTTCGGGCTCAAAATTGATCTCCCCGTCCTCCAGGATCAGATGCAGCACAAAGCCCGGGTGCTCATAGGCTCGCTCTGACTGCTAAGATGGTGGAGCCAAAACAAGGCAGAGAAAGAACGCAACTGTTAGTGTCCACCTGTACGTCTAGGTCAAAATCTAAACATTTAATGAAATTATATGATAATTTCTTCCAAATCCAGGATGTTCGACTCTACTAAAATATATTATTATATCAGTTTTGTAAGCATTCTCCTACCGGGTCTTGTGAAAATAGGTGTGTGTAGTCCCTCATTGAGTTTAATGCAAGGCTCTGAAGCTGGGAGGTCATCAGTGCAGCGGCACAGTTGAAGAAAGATAGCAGTTTGGCTTTGTGTATAGAGGCCGGCATCAGCATGGACCTGCACCCCTGATAGTAAATGTTTTGTACTTCGGGAACCCAACTGGTGTAGAAAACAGCACATTGAAGATTATATTCAGAGAATAGTCAAATGGTCAAAGCTTCAATTTATTTTACGAATGGCAACTTAGAAGATGTATTTAACTGAGCACAGGTATCTTGGTGTTAAGTTAAGTGGACTCACTGATTGAGGAGGATTCCTCTGGCTTTATCAACATGTCTGGTGACAATTTGCTGAAACTCAGGGAGCTTCATGGACTCCTCTCTGCTGTGGAACTCCTCCACATCTATCAGACGGAGATTTCTACAAGCAGGTCATCCAGCAGGGTGAGATAGGCAAACAAAGATCTACTGCAGCAGTTGTACTTTCAGGGGTGTGTGACATGGGATAACATAGAAGTGTCTTTAGAAAAGCACAGACACATTTTAGATTTTTTGTAGATGATCTAACACCATTTTCTATTATTCAACACTTTGTCATGGTTCTTCAAAAACCTGTCCGTGCCGTTAAAGCAGCTGTAATTTTGGAAACAAGAAATTATTTATAAGGTTTGAACTTTTTTTAAATTTACATTTTAAAATTAAAAATATAATTTAAAATCATGCACATATATTTTATTGGTTGCTGTGTCAATACCTACATGTTCAGCTGAAAACGGTGCTCCCAACTGCCATATGTTATACATTAGCATAATAATTGACCTACAGTTACCATATGTGATGAATAGAATTTAGAATAACATTCAATAATGCATAATAGCCTGCTGACAAGTACTAATGTATGTGTGTCATGTATGTGGGTCACATACTGACTTTTTAATTCAGTATTATAGAATAAAAGATCTAAAAAATATTGAACACAGTATGTTGTTTTTCCATTTATAATAATTAAAAATATAAATATATTTTTAAAGGCTAATTTGACTTACGTTAATCAAACTCACTCAACACCTACATTTAGATTTCAGTTTCATTCTAAATAGTTAAGACAATGAACCCCAAATCACATCATTGCATACTTACTTGTAAACGTCATGCCACATGTTCAGCACCTGCAGCATAGTGGGGTTGATAGAGTGAAGCTTATCTCTCATCATCTTCCGTGCATGGACAAAGGCTTTGTTCCATGGTTTTGGCATTACCTCCAGTCTGACAGTGACAGATATCAGAGGGACAGTGAAGAACAGACTTTTCATTTCCTCCAGCAAACTATATGATTCATAATGCTGAAGGACTTCCAGTCACTGCTTGGAAAAGACATAATCTATGTAGCCGTGCAACACAGTATACGTCAGCAGAGGCACTTTATACTTCTCACAAGACACACATGCAACATTCTCCGTCACGTCCTGCTGACTTACTCAAGCCTGTGGGGGGGCCGTTTGTCCTCGTCATTTTCTGAATCTCTGAATGTAAATTTCACTGCAATCACAAACAAATGATAGTAAAACAAACAATATTTTTTTCCGTCTTGTGTATTACAAGTCACCCAGTCACCACTTATTTTTGTGTAACACTGTTAATACAATACTACAAGTTCATAAGAGTTTAAATGTAATTAAATACAGATTGCTGTCTTGATGCCGAGCAGATAGTCCTCCTTAATCTCATCGACCAGTAGCTGAAGAGACGTGCTCAGGCTCCTCAGGTGGTAGGGAACCATGTCCTGAATGTTCTCCAGCCAAGAGTCCTCCATAGGAGTCACATTCACCAGGTCTACCCCTGTCTGGATGTAGTAGTTGTATCTCTGACAAGATAGAATAGCACAAACCATTCTCAGTCGCAACATTTTGAACAAACAATGCCTTGAACATGAATTTAATTTAATTTTTTGGTGACAGTGATGATAACTGGATAATGAAAAAATATCTACATCCATGGGCTTGTTGAAGGGAGGGTTAAATAGTTGTGGAGCATGTCATACATATTAAGTGCACAACATTTACTATGAGGGGTGCAGTAAATATTCCTTTTCCATGTTGTGTTCACTTATTTATGTGTAAATTAGACCACTGCACATACAAATGCTAAAATAAAAAAACAGTGTACTTAAATGTATTGTTTGGCCTGAGTATAAGCGATAGTAGAATTCCAACTATATTGAAGATTTGTTTCTTATATTGAACAAAGACTGCACTGAAAAAGTATCCTACCTAGCAACTGCAACCACTGAGACCAACAAAACAAAACAGTGATTAAAAGGCCACCATATCGAGTGTCCTGAAAAGATTATGATTAGCACACCACCTTCATTATGGGCACATAGACAAAAGGGGGTCTGTGATATAATACATGGCTTCAAGTGTGTCTTGCTTTTCACCATTTCACGGTTATTCTTTGCTGTAAATTTGGAAGAGCCACATGGTGGAGAGTCTCCGTCCTCCTCCTCCTCCTGACTAAAAAGAGTGAAGAAATGTGAGTCACAACAATTGCTTCTAAATGATATGGATAGTTAAGCTTTATAAAAACAATACACCAACTCACCATATGAATTTAACCAGAGTTGCGCGGATATTCTTGCGCTTTTTTATTTCTGTGAGGCTGCTGCTGCTGCCATGCTTGGACGTCCTGTGGATCTGCACGGCCCTTCTGCTCTGGAGCAGGTTCCGGCCTCTGCCACAACTTTGACCACTGGGTCCACTGTCATCATCGATCAGGTCCTCTAGTACAGCACACACGGGCGATCAGATCAGCACAAATAACACGGTCCTTAAAGGAGTTACTAGAATAGCCCAATGTGATCAGAACTCACTATTCACAGCTGCTTCAGTTCCTTGAGCTGTCGGCCGGAGTGGAGGAAACAGCGAAAATGAAGGTATTGCATCCATCCACGGCTGCTTTCTGTGGACCTGACAAATAGTATGATATATATGATATAGATCATATAATATCATATATAAGAGGTATCGACCAGGTTTGTGTTTGACACAAACTATTGAGACGTGTTTAGATAAACTTACCGGTGGTGGGTTTGGTGGCAAGAACGCGAAACTATCAGTTGTATTCGTTTTGTTCTTCCTGGCTGAACTCATGCTGGTACTTGTGCAAAGTTATCATTCATAAGCTAAAGATAGCTAACGATAGTTAGCTCTTTCACTAAACCCCGTGTGTCGTTGCCAGGACCGTTGCTAAGGACGCAACTGTGAGCTCGCGTGAAGCTTTAGCACCACCCATGCGCTGCAGGCACGAGCAGGAGTTAACGGATAGATTATTAGCTAAACTGGCTGCTCAAATTAATAAGATTACCGTTGGAGTTTTGCTAATGTTTTATCTACTTCCCCCTCGTGTGTTTTGTCTTAAAAGCTCACAATGATAACTCGGCTTCAGTAAAGATATTTGATGTTGTCTGGAATACCTCCAGTCTCAATTTGGGAGTTTCAGCGCCCCCTAGCAGTACAGCTGATGGAATAGTCCATTAATGTGAAGTGTGCGGGGGTTACTGATGGTGAGAAAATAAGTTGAATGGAATTTTGTAAATTGTGTCAGAGTATATAAATATATATTAGAATAAAAACACGTTTAGAATAAAAACACGTATTTTACAAATTGTATCGTGTTTGGCTCGTATACCCACGAATCCTGTGATAGACCTCTGCGGAGGTGAAGCATGCCTTCCCTCGGGCTCATGTAGAGTGTATGTACTGGTATGTTATGAGACAACTTGTCACATTCACACTTATAGAGAGTTTCTGGGATGAGCCCTAAAACCCGGAAATGAGCTTTAAGTGGAAAAAAAAACAAAACAATAATTTTCTTGGAAGATGTTTATTTGCCTTAAAATGCTAGCTGAAAACAAATGGCACAGTCACAGTGTCAATTCAAAAACACCAGACCCTGGACACTTTTCATAAATTCTCCAGCTCCTGAAGAATTTAAATGGACAACAGATGAACCACGAGTCAAGACCAAATTATGGTCTATGACAGTCAAGATATATGCCTACAAAATGTATTGGGATGGTAGTTGTAACAACTTCAAGGGTAATTTGACTATGTCTTGATGAATTAGCATGTGTTTTTAAGTTAAATTCTAAATAAATGCAGAAAGCTGTTAGTACTCTCTTTTAAAGTTTGTTTGTGAGTGTAACAGTACTTTTAAATATAAAGGTTAAATATCACTAAAACACCAGGTGGTAAATCTGAGGGTTAGGTGTAAAAGACATACTCCAGTAACTATGCTCAAGGTGCCCTTGAGCAAATAACTATTTCTCATGTGCCATGCTTGGAGGCAGTTTCCCTTCTAATGAACCGACTGCTTCAGTAGAACTGCTAAGCTGCCCCACGCAAAACTCTAGTTGTATTTGGCTTCTTCCAGCTGTGAATATGTACAGTATATGTAAAGCGTGTAAGCCTTCCTCAATATGCAATGACTCTCCTGAATTGCTGCAGCTTATACTATAAAATATTACATAAAACTATCAATTCAAGTATTTACACTTAAATACAAAAGGATAACTTTGGCTCAGATCAACAAAAAAAAAAAACCCTCCCACAAAAAAAAATATCTGAATTAAAGAAATGATCTTGTTTCTTGATAGAGTATAAATACCAACATGTTCTGGTGAATTACATTCTATTTACATACAATGAAAGGGAAATGCTAAATAGCAAATAGCCTCATTATTCAGGACCATTGATTTCTGCTCGTCAACTCAAATTAACTGCAATAAACTGGCTGGAAAATTGGAACCCTGCTAATGCTAAAATTATCTGGAATACCAAAGCATGTTTAAAAGTCGTATCTGCAGTTATACGTCTGCTCTGCTCCAGATCATTTAGAACAGATTTTTTATATATTTATATCAGAGTGGATAAGTGGGATTAGATGCACTTAACCACTCCAAGTGGAATATTACCTGTGAGCGTACAGCCTTTGACATACAGTACAATGTGCTGCATTTGGAGAACCCAACTCTGTTCCACAATGGTAAGGAAGAACAAAGGAATATGCAACCCTCCCAACATATACCAGGCCTACTTTTGGCCTTGCAGTGGCTGAGGAGCTGCTCTTAAAACTGTAAACAGGAGTTTTTCAGCTCTACTTCTTCAGCCCAGGCAGTGTGAGCTCATACCTTAAAAAGAAAGAGAAATTAAAAATCCATTTAAATTTCACTTGAATCAATGAAGCCGTTTGTTTCCCCGCATACAATTCTATAAATTGTTACTATTATAACATAAAACATCAAATATACACAATGACGGTAGGAAGTATTGGTACTTCAATTCACAATACTTCAGCCAAATCATGGAAAAGTAGAAAACTAGGCCCCGTACCATTCTGTGATGCCTTTGACTATATCCAACTGTGAAAGATCTATCATCACCTGTGGACAGGAGCACAACAGGAACATTCAGACAGTTATCCAGATGCTGCAAAAGTGTGACAACCAAAGTAACAAAGACATTGTTTTTGTCAGATCTAAATTGTTTTCTCGCTGTGTTTGTGATTTAAAAAAAAGTTGTTGTCTTTATTTAATTTGTGAAGACGGGTGTAAAAAAGTTTTGGAAGGTGTTTTATTCTCAGGATAATTTTTCTAGTGTTTGTTCTTGTAATACTCATTTGGGCCACAAGAGGCTTAAGCACACCACTACATGGGGTAATGGTGCACTTCAGCCTATAAGTATTACAAGAACAAATGCAATGATCCCGAAAAATACAAATAAAAAAGTGAATTAGAAGTAGTTTCTCTGCAAAACTTTTTTCCCCACTTGTTTCACAGAAAACAATTTAGATCAGTATTTTTTTTTTACTCTCCTCTCAGGGCTTCCGTACAATAATGAGCCAAAGTTTAAGATTCTGCAGCTGATACAGCAGTCTATCACAAATAGCATTACCCACCATGCCAATGTCCTTTCTCTCCCGTGAATGGAACATTTTTCCATTTTTCACTGACACATCCAACATCCTGGTTTGTGCTTCTTGAAGCGACACGTTAAATTCAAACCTGTGATGAAAGAGGGTTTGGCAGAAAGAAACAAGTTCCAGACACTGTCTCAACCGTTGAGCCTCAAACATACAGCAATTACTTCACTTTGGTAATAAGAAATAAAGAAAATGCTTTTTTAGGATGAATCCAGGAGGCTTACGTGTGATCGAAGACAGGATTGACTGTCCTCTTCTTGACATGTGTCCTCTTGCGATGTATCCAGGTTTGGTCAGGGAGAAAATACAGGCGGACATAAGAGTCTGTGCCATTGTCACTGAAGCGGAATAGGTTCCTGCAGGAAACCGGTACACACAACAGGTTACCATAGCTGGTTAACCATATTCAATTGAAGAGAAAATCATTTGTTTGTTCAATTAAAGCAATTAAGTCTTTTGTTATGTTGGATTCAGTCACACTATTTAAACCAAGCAAATACTCACTACCATAAGTATTTTCAAAATAAAACTCTTCTACTGAGGACTGAAAAAGGCACAAACGCACATATGTAAAATCCAAGAATATGTACAGTGTATCAACAACTGAAAGTTGTTTTTTATGTTATCACACAGAAACTGGATTGTGATTTTCTGTGTTCTGAGAACTAAAATGTGTTGAGAGCTTAGCAAATGGGTATATTGCTTGTCAGTATTGGTGCCGCTGGGTGGCACTAGTGAGGCTGGATTTGTCTGCTGTACCTGCAGGATTTAACCAGGACGATGAGTTTGTGCCTCAGGGTGGCATAGCGTACAGTCAGCTGGATCTCCCCAAAGGAACCCTGATGATTCATAATGGCCCTGTGGGGACAGAAAATATTTGTATTGTCACTTGTACTACTTAACTCTTGTTAAATTCCACGTTGATTAGTTCATCACACCTGTAGAAAGGTCAGAGGTCAGTGCACTGAACATCTGAAAAAGACAAAGAGCAAAGCTATAGACTCACTCTGGAAAAGAGGCCCCCTCCGAAAGGTCGAGACGGGACGAAGCGATGGAGTTCTTGGACAGCAGGCTGTGGGAATCTAACTGACTCATGTTTGACAGGGAAGAAGATGGCTGCCAGGTTTCATCAGAGCCATTCTGGTTATCAGCTAGCCACGGCGCAGACGAGGCGCGGGCAGCGGGGCTGGTGCTGGGGGAAAGTGCCGGAGACGAGGCTGTATTGGCGGAGGGAGTGGATACAGGGGCGTTGCTTCCTTGGTTAGTCTGCGGTCTTTGTTGCTTGTTTTGTGGAGGAGGTTCGAGGATAATCATGGGCGGAGGCTTTTCCAGAGTAAGAATCTATTGTGGGATTGAGGACATGGCTAATGTCAGTGACACAATACAAAAGCATCAGTGTAGAAGAGCTCACTTGCAAGTTCTCATAAGCATTGGTTGAAGCAGACAAATGTTGTGGTATATGAGAGTGCATCTTTGTACTCAATGCGTGATGTGCTTGATCGGCCTATGTGTAATGTGAGTTTGTACAGGCTAAATGTATGTGTGTGTGTGTGTGTGCTTGCCAACATTGTGTACCCACCCTGAGAGTGGCTTTCAGCTTGATCTGGCTGTTCGCTCCGGAGCGCTCCAGCTGGAAGCGCTGGTCCAGGGTCATGTCGGAGGTGTTGATGAGGCGACTCAAGGGCAAGTTGAAAACACCGAGCTGAGTCTTCTTCTCATTCACTTTGACCTGGACCACGAGAACACAAACAAAACTATTATCTAAGCAGCCAGTGTAAAAGGTTTTAGACCTCCTGAGAATTTGATTGACTGAAAAAAGATCTAGTTTAACAACATCATCAACATTGGTGTTCCCTCTTTTAGGTTTATTGTGATGAAATTACAAGGTAGCTGACTTTTGACACATACAGGTTAATAAGAATTACTTACTTGTAGCATTTGTAAACAAAATAGAAAGGTGTGTTGCAAACCCTCTGTATGGTGTGTGTGCACCACTAAATGACGAACCTGAACTGTGAGCTGCTGCGTTTTGATGTTATGCACAAAGAAGGTGAAGCCCTGCTCCCACACCGGGTCTTTGGATGCAAAAACAACCTGTGGAAAGAGACGACAGTGACAAGTAATAACTACAGCCGAATGGTTTCAGTGCAAACGGACATGGCAATTTGAAATTAAACTTTTCAGTACAACAGGGACGCGTCCGCCTTCTTGTACAATTCAAGACATTTGAGATATTCTATTAATTTTAGGACGTAAAGAGAAAACGGTGTATTAATGTGATAAAGTAAGAGCCGTACCTTGCTTTTCTGAACATCTTTATCAACAGTCAATTCCACAAAGGAGTCCGGGCAGGCAGTTTTCCTTTTAGTGAGCTGAAAAGAAAGTAAATCAGTGAGACAGCACATGAGTTATATTTTTGGGACAAAATGTTTTCATACATAACACGGACACAGAAAACCTCAGGAACAATAAGGAATATTTGTTAGGGACTATACTGATGGGCTGGGTGACCATTATCAACAATGTTTTCGCTACTACTTGATATCTCAACTGCTTTCAGTGATTGTTTCCCATTTAAGTCTGCTTTCACTTATTACAATAGGCAACAAGCTAACAAGCTAACATTGTGAGTCTGTCTACAAGCAGTCTGTTGCCTTCCAGGCTAGGTAGGCTCTGCATTCCACTCCCCAATACATTGCAGATACACCATACCATCTGGGACACGTAAAACAGATGTTTATGCTGGCAAAAAAAAAACAGAGAAGTAAACTTTTATGATCACTGGAGAAGACTGTGAATGCTACTGGTGGTAGCCACAGCTAGCATGCTAGTATGAGCATGACTGACAACATTCCAAGGGAGAAGAAAAATGTTGAGGTTCACGCAGACACATTTGAGGCTCCAAGAATAACCTACAATTAACTCGACATGTTGGCTGAGACTGTTTACTTTAAAAAATAAACTTGCTAAGTAAGGGTTAGGGGTTGAAAAAAACATCCTTAAGACAAGGCCGTCTTTTCAGTTTTCCTCAACTGCATTTGCTTTGATGCAATGTAGCTCAGGATAATGAAATTGAGAAATCAGTGTTGCCTCTCACACTTCACTTCACTGTATTTTCCAGCAGACCAGCAGAAGGCGTTCAGAAGCAATTGCTGCTAATGACAGTTCAAATCAGGAGAGCCTGTACTGAGATAGACTTGTTTAACAGGGATGGGTCAAAAAAAGTGTCCTAAATTAATTCTTACAATTTGATGACTACCATAATTACCAGACCGGGGGGGGGGGGGGAATATAACATTGGCACAAGTTTGAGTGCTTCAAAAGTGTGTACCAGAAACTGTAAAGTAATAAATGCATTGGAAAGAGGGCAAAGGAGTATAGATATAGTAATTGTTTAACTTTCTCAACAAAGTCCTCCCCTCAAAAATGTTCACACTTAGTTACCAACACTTGTTCATGTTTCTTTCTGCTGGGAACCTCACCCTGAACAAGCCTCAAGGAAGATATCAAAGCAACATGAACACCAGCTGGTAATAACGCACCCACAGGAAGGCACGCACCGGACAAACGGGAAATACCAGCTACGCACAGGGACAAGTACACGGAGGCTTTTGTCTGACATAAGGACAATCAAACTGTAAGACAGTAAGGTGAATGAGAAGCTAGATTACTGCATGATTTAACCTTTAGAGAATAAATATTGGCTTTTTATGAAAGGCCAAAAGAAACCCTAAAAGGGACAGTTCACCCCAAAATTAAAAGTACATATTTTTCTTCTCACCTGTATTGCTATTTATCAATCTAGATTGTTTGGGTGTGAGTTGCATAGTTTTGGAGATATCAGCTGTAGAGATCTCTGCCTTCTCGCCAATACAATGGGACTGTATGGCTCTCGGAATGATGGTTGAAAGAAAATAGTTCCTACATGAAACTGCTCACAACAAGGTCTGTGGATTATCTTGAGTTACTTGGTCATGATTTCTGGAAAGAAACATTGCTGTTGAGTTGTTTTGGGGCGCTTTGAGCACCACGAGCTGAGTGCTGATTTCGGGGTGAACTGTCCCTTTTAAGAAATAATCCCACTTTTCATGTTAGGTGTCGATGAGATATTTGACACCCCCTAGCATATAAGCCCTCAAGCCATTGCCATTCAGTATATTAAATAGCTGTAAGATCTTTAAAAAAGAAAGGTTTAACTGTAGTTGGCGTGTGCTGGAGAAGGAATTACAAGTACCATTCTTTCACACCCTGTGGAGAATGTCCAGCGATAAAACCTTTGTAAGAATGGGTTCCGTTGGACGAGGGGTTGGGCCTCTGCATACCAAACATCCCTAGATTAATATCCATATGCCAAATCAAGTACAAGCTAATGAGTTAAGACAGTATGGGTCTCCTGGCAATGATACGGCTGGTGTTAGACAATTAAAAACTGATTTACCAGAAATGCAATTATGACCAGTAGTGGACTGGTGCTAAAGTTAAATATGCATTCATATTGATTATGTCTATGTAACGCTGTGTTATTCTTAAATTCCTACGACAGAAGGAAAATAAAAAAAAGATTTAAGATGAAGTTTTAAGTATGTATTTTGATGTCTTTGGTACAGTGCTGACTAGTTGTTACAGCATTTAACCTCCTTCTCAAGGGCAGAAATGACCTACTGTACTTTCGTGGTGAACATTCACAAAAAAAGTGAATCAAAATCTAGAACAAAAGAAGATCCCTAAGGCCAGCCTAGATTAGCACCGGGCAGCTTACCCGAGCTTCCTTTGAGTGCTTCCCCTGTTTCTGATGCTCGGTGATCTCGTTGTGGTCTTTCTGGAGTCAGAGCACAAGAACACACATCAGTACATCTCTCTATCCACGTTGTATCATCTGTTCTCAACAACAACAACATCATCCCGATTAGAAGCTACTTACTGGTAGGTTTGAGGCATTGTCCAGATAGACTGCGAGCATAGCACAAGCAAGGCCGTCTGCAGACTGGAAGAAAGCAATACACGATTTACACCCGAGAAATATGTTGTTGTTTTCTATTTTGGGGTGAACTGTCATTTTAAGATTGTAGAATAACAAAAAAATATGTATAGTATAAATGTTAATGAAAATTTGGATGGGTCAATAATGACGCTACCTCCCTCAGCAGGCTGGGGTCAGTCTTGAGGGAAAACCACTGGAGCTTGAGACGGACCTCTCCATTCTGGACGTCTTCCAGAGGAAACCACTACAGCAGCAATGGAGATTAATTTATCATCATGACATGTATGTATATGAAAGCCTGCATTTAAATAGAGAAAATGCGAAGGCTTAGAAAAGGCATTAGCGTTGAAACATTTCTTTCCATTCTTAAAAAATGCTGCTTCTGCAAATTCTCGAGATATTTCTCTTTTTTTTGTACCTATTGCAAAGAAAATAATGTACTTGTTAGGCACAAATTACATTATACCTTGTATCCAGAATATTAGTTAAAAGCTCACCTGATCCATTTCTATATCCTTTTTTACTCTTCCCAAATCAAGGTGATACCTGAAATGATAATTTAAAAATTAAAACGTGTTTGTGCAAGCTACTGTATTGTAAAATTTCAACCAAGCAACCATGTTAAGTGCCATGTATGGCAGGGTAAAAAGAAATTCAAAAGTTTCCATATTTGAGAAGCTCTGTATATAGTAAAGTGAATAAAACACGTGCGACTAATTAGAAATTTTCTTACGATCCAAGAAAGTCGTCTTTATCCGTGTCGTCGTCGTAGAGTTCCACCTCCAGCTCTTGCCCCGGGGCTTCATGGACCACGAACTGCACACAGATGAAGGAAAGGTGGACGGTGGAGAGTCAGTGTTTAGATCAGAATACCTAATTAGATTTCTACCACATTTAGAGAAAGGCTGCAGCACGCCACGAAGACACGGGACATTAGATGATGCACCTGGAAGTGCAAACGTTTGTACTGAAAAAAAAAAGTAAAAATTGGAGGAAATTGTCACATGCTGGAGACAACCTCAGCTCCCAAACAATGGACCTCAAGCCTCAATAACACCATATAAGGCTACGCGTCCTGACCCATATGTCCTACATTGAAGTCCTGCCTTCAGAGATCCATAAAGGAAAGTTATAGGTTATACTAAAAAGGTTATACCAATATGACGGAAGTTTTCCCGTGATACCCCGTTTACTCTACCTCATACACTTCGTTCCACTTGGGGTGCAAATTCTCTTTGACGATCTTGCTCTTGAAATGTCGGTTGCCCACCCTGAGCGTCGCATAGGGGTCTGATTTGCCCTTCACTAAACCCATCATGAATGTGTCCTTCGCCAACAGGTCTCTAGCCTCCAGCAGGTGGACCCTCACCACACCCTGAGGAGCAGACAAGGACAGATCCAAACTAGCAATACTGTCTCGTATGAAATCAACACAAAAAAAAACACAAAATCTTTACCCACAATTGTCATAAAAGCAATTGTTTTTATTTTGAAAGGGGGAATTTTATCCTAAAATATGCAATATAGTTAAGTATAAAAAAAACATGCAAGTGACTGCAGGTGATCAGATGAAGATCAAACTGTAACATGGAAAGTACTATCGTACATACCCGAGGTAATGGGAACCTCATCTGGTCCACTTTGACCTGGTCTACGAGGGGCACGCACATGCGGTTGGGCAACACCATGAGCGAGGCAATGATGTCCATGATGGTCTCTTCAGACAGCGAGCTGGACGGGGGACAGATGAGACGAGAGAGTTTACCGAACTAAACGGGCGAGACGCCGGTGTGAACGTTAGAACTCCAACAAGAAAAAGGACGGACATCGTGAGATTCGTGGTGGAAGCTCACCTGAAGGCAGGGCTGTCCAAGAGGTTGGTCATGCCGGTCCAGTTGATTTGTAGGGTCTGGAAAAAAAAAAGTAAAATAATGTAAGCGTTTTAAACTTGGCTAATCCCACTTGGTTTAGTTGACGGCCTTACGGTCATTAAAACATCACTCACGGGGCGGCGCATGAAAAAAAAGGTGACTCCTCCCACCAGTGGCGCTTCACCAATAAGAGGCTCCAAAATGACCCTCATCATCCCCTGGAGCTGGAAGAGTCAAGAGAGTTTTTTTTTGTTTTTTTACAAGACTAGTAAACACATGCGATGATGGTGGTGGCGATGATGATGATGATGATAATACAAGTTATACAGAGGCTAAGAAATAAACGAGATGCCCACTTTAAGTCCCTTGACGCCGGCTGTGATTGGCGGCTTCACTTCAGCGTCGATGTCCACGTCACCTTCGTAACTGTGAAGAGAACAAGTTCTGGTGAGACGTGAATGACTGCGGCTCGGAACAGAGCAAAAAAAGGTTTAAACACCAAATGATAAGCTCCGACGTGAGAAACGTGTCCGACCAACCATATATTCAGGTCCAGCACCACCTCCCTCTGATCCACTTCATCCGTGTATGCCTTCATCCCAGTGATCCGGAGAGGCTGGAATTAAGGGGAACACGTTAACCTGTGGGCTTTGCTTTACAAAACATGTAGCCATTAATCAGATTTAATTGCTGATTGAACACACTGACATTCGGGAGGATTTCAATGGCTTTAATGACAAACGCAAACTCACTACGTGGCCAAAGTGGACCTTGGTGAAAGTGAACATCTTGAGCGCGGGGCTGGAGAGCCTGATGGCCGGCTGGATGTTCTCCTTGAGGAGCTTCTCCATGTACATCCCAAAGAAAGGCCAGGCCTGCTCCAACACCTGAACACGCAAAGCAAAATCAATTCCACACCCTAACTAAGCAGCAGATACAACTTCACATGCACTTGGAAATAGAGGGCACACTTAAAAGGCACTATATAGCAAAGGCGTAGGTTTGGTCTCAGCATTGGTAGGGACACTGCCAGCCCCCCCGCTATATAAAAACAACTTAGTTGATATTATGTTGAACAGGCAAACTTTATTAAAATATATTAACATTTGTGTAACTTCGAACTGATTTAAATATAATAACAGTAACAAAACCTTAGTTTAAATACAAAACAGTATTCTGCACCAAATAAATTATAATAATAATAATAAATAATTAAATAAATGAATAAAAAACGTTCTGCTAAAATGCCAATATACAGTAACATATAGTAATTCTATATGCCAAAAAAAGACAAAAATAAAGAAAAATAAATCTATTCTGCAGCACTTAATAGGCTATAAATAAAGTGCTTTCCTCCTTTATGCAATTATTAGTAGTGCTGGGCAACGATTACAATTTTTAATCGCGATTAATCGGATGGATGTTTTGCGATTAATCGAGATTAATCTCATTGTTATGGCAAAATTCAATAATGAATTCAAAAGTAGTGTATTGCGCACTTTTATTTTAAAAGTACTGCTATATGAACAAAAGGGCAATAACATTTGGTTTCCAAACACTTTAAACAAATCAGGTTATTTTTAACAGCAGTAGTCCCTTTACACAGCAGCAGTTCAATCTCTTCACTATCTGTGCTCAGTGTGTGACTTTATGTGAAACGTTCCACTGCTGTGCAACAGGAATAAAATGTTTCAGCAAGTTTCAGCAAAAAATGTCTGTCTTCATGACAGTCAGAGCATGTGAATGCAGCTCTACTGTTCAGCAATATAATGCTGTAACTCCGAGGTGATGATGGTTACCCAGCGATCAAAGAATAAAGACACTTTACGCACAATTTAGGTGTATTTTCCCTTTAACTCACGAGATGCAGGTAGCATGTTTTATACTTAATGTGAATATAGTTCATGCTTTGTTGGCATCTTATTCTGAAAACCGGATGTTGGTCTGAAGAAACCGGATGTTGTCTCACGTTAATCTTTCCACTAACTTTCAAAGTCCTTCGCTCGCTCCCGATCTGTGCCGTTTGAATGCGTTTAGCGTGAATTTCAGCATATAGGTGCACTAACATGTAAGTGTCTGCTGAGTTGACCACGGAGATCTGAGTGTCTGCTGACTTTACCGCAACGATGTCCAGTAGTCTCCATTCCTCCACCGCTGCCAGTGAGCAACGGACTTTCAAAATAAAAAAAAAGCGCTATAAAATAATTGTCGGCGTTAATTAATTAATGCGTTAACGCGATAATAATGCGTTAACTTGCCCAGCACTAATAATAATACGAATGAGTTTGCAAATATATTGTGCAAAATTATTTTTTCTAACAGGCAATTCAAATTAACAAAATATTGGTGGGGACAATTGTGTCTTTCCCAAACTTTGGTCGTGACTAGTCCCTATGGACCATATGCAAACCTACGCCCTTGCTATATAGTATGCATCAAAATGTTTAAAGCATGCATTGCAGTTAGCAGAAATATGAAACACATACAGTTGGATTTTGGTGCGGTCATTGTAAAAGCATCAACGGGATTTAGCCGGTTCCAGAAGTCATAAAAAAAAGGTAAGAAGACAACTTTATCTTGATACTGTACCTTGTTAACCCAGTCAACTTTTTCCACCTCAGGAAAGTGGACCTTTGGAAAAAGAAAAAAAAAAAAAAAAAAAAAAAAAAAAAAGATAGTGAAGTTAGAAGTGGGTTTGTTAGTACATAGTTAGTAGCATGCATGATGGCGGTGATGGAAGACATAATCGTGTCAATAATTATTAATTTTACATCATGCAAATTTCAAGATTGCTTTAGTTAAATTAGTCAACAAAAAAATCATTCAAATTAAAAAAAATATTTAAAAAATGGTGGATCCAGAAACATTATGCACATTTTCACCCATTTCTGAAAAATCGGCAGCATTCCATAGTAAAAAAAAGAAAAAAGAAAAAGTTGACATGGGCAAGCACAGCTGTATTTGTTATTTAGTGCTTACCAACGCTCCTTTTGCAGCATCAAAGCTGTGGACTGTAACAGAGGTTTGGAATCATCATGTTATAGTACGGAGACTCTGAGCATCTAATCCAAAAGTATCATCAGTGAGAGCTACCCAAGACCCCCCCCCCCCCACATACACAAACACACATACATAGATACAAAGAGAGAGTGGGCTGCAAGACAATAACTAAAAAGGTGAACTGATCTAGTGTGCATTTCACATCTGATCTAGTGTGCATTTCACATCTGATCTAGTGTGCATTTCACATCTGATCTAGTGTGCATTTCACATTCCTCTGCCATTAGAAGAACCCTTCTCGCTGTCTCTCTCCCTTTTCAGTTCCCATGAGTCACTGTTAAAAGTGGGTGTGGTGCAACCAAACAGGCAGAGCAGCGAAACCCTCCCAACACACATAGCTTCACCCAACTCTGAGCATCCAGCATCTAGGCCCAAGTCTGGCATGTCATGCAAATACAGTGCAGTGTAGTCAAGGCAACGGAGAGCGTAGAAGTCCCACAGTGTGTGTGTGTGTGTGTGTGTGGGGCCTTATTGTTTCAGGATATTTCACACGACTTGGTTTCAGTGCAGTGAAGCCCAAAAAAAACACAGCAGACACAGTTTCGACTTCTGAAGGTTGGACCTCTCCACTGGGAAGTTGCCGTGTTCGATCTCTCTGCTGCCTATGGCTACCGAAGTGCCCTTGAGCAAGGCAGCTCACACATACATGTGCAGTAAAAGGATAGAAATCTGCATTCCACGTTAGGACACTAATACGTACCCACGTTGCCATCTGCAAGCCACTTTGCAGCTCCCGGTTCACCTCCTGGGTCTCGTTGTCCACAAAGTTGATGGCGGTTCCGATCCGGGCGTCTTTCACCTGGCGATTCTTCTTCCACCAAGTGGCCATCACCATGCAGAGGAGCACCCAGCTGATACTGAGGCCCAGGTATCCGGTCAGATACACGGGGTAGAAGACGAAGACGGCTCGGCCGAAGTACGACAGGAACTCCATCAGGACGCGGTTGACAGTGGAGGAGTCCAGCTTCTCCGCGCTGTCGCTCTCCGCGAGCCCACCGGCTCCCGCCCGCGGGTACGTCGGTCCGGCAGCGGACGCCATCAGGGTCGGACTCCGGTTTTTCCTCGAAGTCCCGAACGCTAACTGTGCCTTGAACGGATTGATGTACTTGCGTAATTTCGGCTCAGTTTTGCGCAGCTTTATCGGGGAAAGCGAAACAGGGACGCCAATCTACCGCACAACCCATGTGGGCAGTGATACAGCGAGTCGTGACGGTCCTAAAACTTCCGTGTTTGAAACATCCCAAAAAAAAAAAGCAGGTAGACACACCTGTGGCGGCTGTGGGTGGGGACCGCGCTCAACAACAAAAAAGAAATTCCACCCTAAAATCAAAAGGCAACCTTTAATTATAGGAGCGTATTTTTGTATTATTTTATACTTCTACCGCTTTATTATATTTGTATAATGTTTATGTACTCTTCATCATTTTATAGAAGTATGCAGTGTTTTATTACATTTTGTTACCGTAAATGTTTAATTATTATTTATTTATTTTACTTCTACAGCTTTATTATAGTTGTATAATGTATATGTACTCTTCATCATTTTATATTTTGTGGACGTCTGCAGTTTTTTTATTGGATTTTGTTACCGTAAATATTTTTGTGAATGCGCCAGTTTTTATAGAAATCAAAGTCACATTGCTAGTAGAGCAGCGGTGGTTTTCCATTTCTGTTGAATGCAAAGTAACTCCCAATGTCCCAGCATCAGGAGAAATGTATCTGCACTGATGCAGTCTCACCTGCAGAGGGAGCCAGAGAGCTCAACAGAGCACCTCATTTTAATAAAGCTGTGTGACAACACATCTGTGATTTTCCAGACCTTTCTGTAATACTGTCTCACTTAGGAGTAATAATGCGCTCGTGTGTGTTTCGTTAACGAACATGCATAAGCAGGCAAATTCACTTTCAAACGTTGACGTGCATATTTAAGACCAAGAAGGCAGCACCTGCATGCAAGGACTTCAAAGAAGTTTATGATCTTGATAGAAGTGATAGCATCATTGCAAAGTAAAGCATTCTAAAGGATGTTTTTGTTATTGCAAATATTTTATTTTAAATACGCCTTCTGGATCTTTATTATAGAGCAAGCGTATACGTTTATAGATGTGTTTATTACAAGGAAAGCTATTTACGGCCCCGAAGTGGAAAAACAAGTGATAAATCAAACAGTGGTGTCTGTGTTAAAATATTAGAATCTTTATTGTATAGGTTTGAAATAAATAACTTTGACAGGTAAACTGAGGGGTTTATGAGGGGATATGGAAAGTGTTAACTCATTATTTGACATTGAGTGACATCAAATATCTTATCTGAATGATGAACTGCGTCATGTTTATATACAGTATGTATATATAGAAATGTAACGGTATAATAGGAAAGATTTGACAAATTCCACCTTTCAAAAGGTATGTAAGGAATATGTTTGTTAAAGGAAAACCAAACAAAACATGACTATAAAACAAAATGTGAAAACTAGTAATTTTAACATGTATGCTCCTATAATAGACAAAAGCTGAAAACAAATATAGAAATGGAGCAATTAGCTGTGTGTTAAATATACAGAAAGCAATGGACACATGAGTGTGCTTGTATTAACTTTTATTTGTGCAGGCCGGTTTACTGGAACAGCGGTTAACTTTCACTTTCAAAACCAAAAGTGATTGGTGACCTGATCTACACATGCATGCCAGATGAGCTTTTTACCATCCCATCATTTCCTGGAGCAGCGCAGGTGCTTTCCATCGTCCGCCCACGGGCCACAAACAGTGTGCAGGGTTCAGTGAAATTACAAAGCAATAACAAACAGACAGAATGTTTGGACAACCCTTTCTTTTCATTCTTTTGATTTCTCCTTGCATAATTATTCCGTAGCACGATAGAGATTATTTCAAGGCACTACATGGATCCGAGTATTAATATCTTCATAACTGACCCTAGTGGTCATTACAGGTTGCTTGTAAACAAGGACATGACTATTATTATATTAGTGCACCAATTGGAAGTATAAACCAAATATCTGAAGAAAAACATGAATCAGTTATTAAATACTGTAAGGCAGTGTCGGGCATTAGGCGTTTGTTTGTCTCGGTGCATGGCTGTGTCACTTGAACGTAATCAAATATTCGGGACACGCCTGGCTGTCGTGGAAGATCACGAACATGGTGGGGTTGGCCAAGCGGTCCACGACGCTGTCGTATATCTGAATGGAGACGGCGCCACCCTTGGCCGGCGGTGCGATCATGCCTTGTTTTCCGACAGTGAAATCCCCCGTCAGCACTCGACAGAGGTACATGCACTTCTCCCCACTTTGATTGGGCTTGGAATAGGTGTCATGGGCTGAATAGGCAGCGCCGACGGCAAAGTAGGTGCCGTTGCCGTAACAAGCAGCTGAAAAATGCGGAAAGATATTGAGTTAATCCGCAGTGTTACTTGCATTAATTGTCTCTCGTTTTCTGTGTGTTTTCAAAGTAGATATTCAGAAATAACTGCAACAACACTACAACCGTAGTGTTCTAAACATCTATTGGAATAACACTGAGGTACAAAACTGATTTAAACATATATGCTTCATTGTGATGTAAAAACTACTCATGGACATTAAAGGAATGCGATGTGTCAGTGTCTTCGATAGTTTAAGGAAGCCTCTGACAAGACAGTGTCCCGTATTTTCGACCTAAAGCTCCTCACCGTTCTTTCCTGCGTAGCTCCTGTTGAAGCCGTGCTCGTTGATGTGGGCCACGGTGTCGTGGCTGGTGCCATGGAAGAGGCGCCTCTCGTTGTTTTGGTGATTGTTTCTCTGCTCCATGTCGCGCTTCTTGATCTGTAAGCTCTTCCACAATATGGGGTTCTGGATCCTCTCAATCTAAGGAGGAGGGGGAAAACATTTTTGAGTGTTTGTGTCCATAACATGAACTGCTTTTCCTGATAATGGATTTTTTATAGATTTGATTAATCAGAAAAAACGGATATGGGATTGGTGTGTTAATGTCACCTGATGACAAGACAGGTGAAATGTGGCAGATAAAAAACATCATTCATTGAATAGGAGTGCACGTTAGATGCAGTCTACCTTAATAACGGTTTGGTTGCATGTGGCCTGGAACAGATTGAGGATTTCGGTGTGCTCCGCTGCCCCAACCTTGATGAGGACGGCCAGACTCGAGGTGTTGGCTGGCATCTTATCCCAGTGTTCAGACGCGTCTTCGTCTAGCGGCGTAATAAACAATTTCATTTTTGTTATTCCTGGGGTCAACAAGGCATTGTTTTGCAATTTTGAAGCAAAAAAACAAAATCTGTGACCATGACCAGATAACAACATACATTATACAACAATTCTGACAAAGCTGTCCAAAAAAAAATGCATGCTAACACCTGAGAATTATTTTACCGACTTAACGGACTCAAATCCGGTGTGAATGCACTTTATTCTGGCTTCATAGTGAAGATATAATCAGTTTATCCTGCGTTATTGTGGATGTTAGGCAGGACACAGAAGCACGGTGGCAACAGCTAGCATGCTTCTACTTATCAGAGGACACGGGTAAGATACCTTTCAGTTTGTCAATGCGCTGTATCTGTAGGACTTGCCCCTGGTTATCAGTTGCAGGTCCCTTTGGCATGGTGACGGTGTAGTCATGACTTAGGACTGTAACTTTTACGCTCGCTAGCTTATTTTCCAAAGCTTGCTCAAGCTTGAAGTTGGCCATTAAATCGAAACTCATAAACTGAAGCCCCGGCTGCTGGTACTGCCAGTCTGCCACTGTGGCCGACTGCTCTGCTCTCCTCTTTAGCTCGTCCTTATCTCTGGCCGACCTCAGCATCGCGTGGATCTCGTGGCTGGCTCTGAGCACGTCCTTGCTGAGCCCGTCGATGGTCAGCGAGGCCTGGGCGTTCTTGCTCTCGGTCCTTATCGTCACGTCCATGGTCTTCTGGATGTCAACAATGCGCTGGTGGTCCGCATCGGAGAATCCGAGGATGGAGTTGTCTGGGATGCAGAGGCTGTTTTGTTCTTGGGTTATCAGTTGGTCGAGCTGCTGTTTGGCCAAGTCCACGCGGGCCTGCGACTCGCCACAGATGTGGAAGGAAGCAGGGTCCACTTTCAGAGCCTCGATGACAAAATCCCCCTCTCTCTGTGGCTTGTCGCCACTTGGTCCCCTGACAAATAATGCTGAGGGAACAAATTCAGAGATCTGCATCAGGATTGAACATTTAAAAGTGATCATGGATGAAAGAAAATGAGCACTGAAACGATTCTCCTCACTGCACTTACATTTGATTTTGGAGCCGATGTTTCCCCAGAGCCCACCTTTATCTTTCGGGTCAGTGGCTTCCCTTTGGTGCATACTGTTATAGAAGTCTTTCAGCATGGGCGGCTGGAAAATGACTATTCGAATTGTCTTCAGGGGGCCGGGAGTGTTTTGGCTCAACGCGTCAATCACTGCATCCAGCATGGCGTCCGCCACCTGCTTCGCCTGTACGTTGCCTTGACCTGAAGTGGGACAGCGTGAATTTCAGAGTTCTACTCATGTACACAAACACCTCAACCAAGATTGGGTCCTGCCAACAAATCTCACCTGTGCCGATGGCAGGAAATGAGACAGAAGTGTATGAGTTGGTCACACACATTTGCAGTGAGTCTTTCACACCCTTCTTGATTTTGACTGGGTCCGTCTGTCCAATTAGGTGGAGGATCTTCTTACACTTGAGGTTGCCTGGCTGGGTTATTATCATGCCTGGGTTGGGCTGGGCACCTAAAGGTGTTGACAGTGGATTTGAATGACTCTGAACTTTGACAGCCATGTCACGTGTGTTTTAAAGCAATACTTCTTTTTGGAACAATCTTGAGTTATGAATAGAGAATTGGCTTAATGATTGACTCTTTATCCATGTCATTACAGTACCAAGCAAGATAAATGTTACACTGTGTTTGATGGCAAATCTTTGTGTAAATGTTTCCTTACCAAGGGTTGCGCATTCCGCTTCTACAGCCGGACCCGCTTCATCCAGAATGGCCTTGGATACTCCTAGAGAAGAGGAATATTGAAACAAACATCATATACAAAATCAATATCTATATCTATATATATATCTACATCTATATCTATAT